CTCAGCCTTCCCTGGGCCCTCAGAACCCCTCTCAGAGACCGGGCCAGGAGGGCGGGCCCAGCGTCCACTTCCCAGGTGCCGGTTGTCGGTGTCATCCCCCTCCCCCCTTTCCCTGAAGGCTCTGAGGAGGCTGGGGTTTAGCTTCCTGTGTCTTCGCAGGGAACCAGCTGAGACCCCGACTCCGGAGCCAACCCCAGGTCCAGAAGCGAATGAAGAGGCCCCGTCTCCAGGTAAACCTCAGCCACCCAGCTCCAAGTGCTGCCCCTGGCCTGCCTTCTGCATGCAGCAGTAAGAAGGACAGTGGTGACCGACCGCTGTATTGGCTTCCGCAGCATGCACACCCAGCCCTCAAGACCTCAAGGAGCTGGAGCTTCTAACCCAGGCACTGCAGAAGGCTGTACACGTGCGAAAAGGCATATCTAAGGCTGGAGAAAGAGACAAGGCCTCCAGCCTGAAGTCTGGGTCCATTGCCACTTCGGCTACCACAGCCGCTGCCCCACACCGGGCTTCTCAAACAAAACTCCCCAGGGGCACCCGCCAGGCCACCAGGCCTGCCAAGGGCCTCCCTAAGCCTAGGCTTCTGTCAACGGGGGATCAGACCTGTACAGGGAAAGGGCCCCTAGCTGCCAAGCCTGGACCCGGCCTCAGGGACCCACCGATAGCTCCATCGGCTGCTCCTCAGGCCCCCGAAGCTTTCACACTCAAGGAGAAGGGGTAGGTTTCTCAGAACCTCACTGGAGGAACTGCTAGCACTCTACCTGACCAGACCCTAGCCAGCAGCTGGAGTCTGGAATTTGGGGTGACAGGGAGGGCAGGGCATTGAAGTGCATGTGGGTTCTGGAGTACCACCCATGAGGCCCATGCCCTGAAGCTGGCAGAATGGAACAGCTGGCTGTGAATTGGCTGGGTTTGATGGGCTAGGGCCTGTCCCACTCTCCTCCCTGGCAGTCCGGTGCCCTTTTATCTACCCAGCCCAAGGGCTCAGATGGTCTCTGCTTGTGGTACCCTCTCCTCTCTCTGACAGGGCAGATCTGGACTGGGTTGACTCCCATGGTCACTCTGGAAGCCCTGTTTGGGGGTGGGGGGTGTTAGCCTCACCCCTATCTGGGCTCTGAGCAGGGTCTGCAGTCCCAGAATGAGGCGAGGCTCCTTTGAACACTGGCTTTCCTGACAGGACGCTGCTGCAGCTGCCCATGGCCTTCAGGAAGGCGGCTTCTCACAACTCCTGGTGAGGCTGAGTCTTGCAACTGGGTGGGGGTGGAGGGGAGAGCAGGGAAGCCAAGGCTTCCCACCAGCTCGGGGCCCTGTTGGTAAGACTTTTCCAGCAGATCCCTTTGCTTTCTTTGCTAGGAGGGAACACTATATATTAAGAGAGTCTGCCCAGCTCCGACTGCCGTAGTCACCTTAGACTCAGTAGGCTTTGAGACCCCCAGCTCAGCTGCTTGGTTATAAGCTGCAAGACTTTGAGCAAAACACTTGGTGTCTTTTAGTCCCAATTTGTCTTGCATGTGCAGGTGATGATAGTACTAGCTTTCTAGAGATGTTAACTGAGGTGGTTCCTTTCAGGTTATGCACTGTGCCTGGTGCATAGCCAACACCCACAGATCTTACCAGTCATCCTACTTACCAGTCACTGCCAGCCCCTCTCCCCTTCTTCCTCAAATTCTCTCCTAGTATTTCTCGGAATGGGTCAGCTCTCTGGACAGTGTCCTCTTAGTTCCCCTGAGACATCCCAAGGCCTATCCTAGCTCTCAGCAGAGTCAGACACCCTAGGCTGAGGCCCCTACTCTGGCCCTTGCCTACTTCCTGAGATCCAGTCCAGCTAGCTAGAATAATGATCTCTCTCTGGGGTGCCCATGTGTGCATCCAGCCTGTGGGCCCAGCTCAGCTCTATACAGACCAGCGACTCCATGGATGCCACTACGTCCTCTAAAACCCAGTTCCTCCAGAAAATGCAGTTGACTGTATCCTTGCTGGATTTGCTGGGGGGTAGGGGAAGAGTGTCTGGTTCTACACTTGGTGAATTTGAGGAGCAACTCCAGGAAGGCCCAGAGCCACTCCCAGGCCCCATCTTTAGGGGAGGTGAGCGGTGGCGCTGAACACGGGAGTTTCCCTGACCTGTGTCCAGTCAGGCTGGCCTAGCTCCGGGCTCAGTGCTGCAGAGGTGGAGGCAGAGGTAGGGCGCCTGCAGAAGGCTTGCTCGCTGCTAAGACTGAGAATGGAGGAAGAGCTCACAAGAGGTCAGTGGGCCCTGATACAGGGTTTTGTATGGGGGTGGGGGTGGGGGTGCTGCAGGACCAGCATGGACCCAGCCTGCCCTCCCTGACTCTTTCGTAGACCCCACGGACTGGATGCAGGAGTACCGTGGCCTGCTCACCTTGGAGGGGCTACAGGCCATTGTGGGGCAGTGCCTCCACAGGCTGCGGGAACTGCAGGCAGGTGAGACCCCACTGCCATCTGTGCTGAAGTCTGGTAGGGGAGGTCAAGGTTCTCTAGCCACAGGACAGCCCAAGAGTAGAGGCAGGCAGGCCCTTCCCCAAGTCACTCCATTGCATTCTGAGTTCTCCCCAGTTGTCCTATGGGACCAGTCGGAACAGCTCCTCCACCCCCATTCCTTCTCCCAACACACAGAGCCCTACCACTTTAAGTAGTTTACTTATTTGTCCAATCATTGACAAGGTAGCATGTGAGAATCAGAGGTACTGGTAGGTGACTGGCCTAGCCTTGTAAGAGATGATTATGAACAATAGGGCTTTGTCTCGGAGGCAAATGGAGACTTTGCAACTTTGCTCCCCCTTAGAGGAGAGTGGCAAAGAGGTGCCTGGCTGTCACCCCAGGAGGCCACATTCCCCCGTCCTCACAGAAGTGGTGGAACAGCAGCTGGGGCCGTGGCCTGAGGAGAGGCTCCCCATGGCCTCATTGCCTTGTGGAGGAGAAGCAGATCCCACCTGGAGCCCCCAGCTGCTTCTCTACTCCAGCACCCAGGAGCTGCAGACCCTGGCAGCCCTCAGGCTTCGGGTGGACATGCTGGACCAGCAAATCCACCTAGAAAAGGTACTTCCAGAGTGAGCATTAGGGAGTAGGTGTCTGGGTGCCAGGGGAGCCTGAGTCATGGGGAGGATTCCAGATCTGAAGCCTTGTGAGGGCTCAACAGCCTATCTGTGCTCTTGACGAGAGCCTCTGCGCCTGTGCATTTGCCAGCACCGGGGCAGCAGGAGAGAGAATGGAGCGTTTGGAGGAGGGAGGGGCTGGATCATGGTGCCTCAAAGCCTGTCCTGGAATTACTCTATCCCCTGGGCCCTCCTGTGGGGGCCCTGGACTGCTGTCTGGGATAAGGCCTC